ATCACTTTTCCCGCCAAAAAGTATTTTGGTATTTTGTGGACCTAATTTTGGTATATTTCCTGATATGATGTATGATATCTTTTATTAAAAGAAGGGTAATTTAGTCATTTGGTACATAAAAGGGGTATTTTTAAAAATGGACATCCATAGGGGGCATTTTTGAAAAGGGGTATTGAAAAAGGGGCATTTTTGTGAGTCTCCCTAGAAAAAATCTATATTTATTCTAATATTGTATATAGGAACTGAAAAAAATTAATATTTTTTCACTTACTATTATAATATATTGAAAATTAATTTTAATATATATATTATATAAATTTTGTAATAAATAAAATTTAACCCGTACTTTAGTACGGATGATGATCTAGTTAACATTTGTAAGACTGTAACAATGTCATAAAGTTTGACCTAAATTTTTTTTTGGTCGACTAAGGGGGACAATGTCCCCTGTACTTTATTAAATTAAATTAAAAAAATTATAACCGGACCCGTCGTGGAAACGCAGTTCCACCGGTATCCTCCGACAAAATAGCATTAACCGAATCCGGTACAAATTCAAAAAAGCGAAAACCTAACGGTAGTGAAAACGCATAGTTTGCTAACCCGTCGACAAGACGGTTAGCCTCCCTATACACATGGGAAATCCGGATTATCCAGTCCCTTACGAGAAAACTATGGCACAAACGTACCAGAAACGAAAGCGGATGATACTCACTTATCCCTGTCTTAAGAAAACCCACCACCATCTCTGAATCCAAATTTTGAACGTATTAATCATCTAACTATTTTTCAAAGAAGAACAACTCTTTCTCATTGGTCAGTACTCTAATTAAGGAAAAAAATAAAAGGCGAAAAGCTGGCACAGAGCGTTAGTTACACGCGCCCACGCGCTACAGCGATGTCCTAAATTCCCATTATATTCATATTGTCGTGCTCAAAACGATCGAACAAATCAGACAAAAGCCTCGCATCTCTCTCTTGGGATCTGAATCTTCACATTTTCTCTGACAACCAAAAAGATCACAAGAGAAATAACAAAAAAGAAAATGCCTCATGGAACTCTTGAAGTTGTTCTTGTCAGCGCCAAAGGTCTCGAGGACGCAGATTTTCTGAGTAAGCTTTTTGTTCTTTTTTCCCTTAAAAATCTAGTTTTTTTCAGAAATCCTTAGAACCCTTTTGATTTTTGTTGATGGGTATTGTCCAAAATGTGTTGAATCTGTGAATGTATATATGTCCTTTGACTTTTGGATCAAAGATTCACAATTTTGGTGCCTATCTGATGTTGTTGACTAGAACGATCAGAATTCTCTGTTTGTAAAATATGTGAATTCAATTTATGAATCGGATTTTGATTCATATCTGATATTAGTGGAGATCTTAAAATATTTGTGAAAGTTTGATCATAGATTCAAATTCGTCTTGATCTTCTTCTAATCCTTTTTATTATAATGATCTAGTCTAATTTTTGGTTATGGACATGTAAATCAGTTTCTTGATTAACATCAAAAGATATACGCTTGTTCTATTGTAACATTAGCCTTGTGAATATATAAAATCGATTTGCATATTCGTTGACTTATTGCGCGGTTTATATATAGATAACATGGATCCTTATGTGCAACTCACTTGTCGGACTCAAGATCAAAAGAGCAGTGTTGCAGAAGGTAATTTTTCAATTAAGATCAATGGTTTTTGTTTTGGTTCTTTTGTTTGTGCAAGAAAAAGATCGGTCTTTGTGCTTTCTAGAGTTGAGAAGAAGAATCATGAATTCCTGCAGGGATGGGCACTACTCCTGAATGGAATGAGACATTTATCTTCACTGTCTCTGAAGGAACTACAGAGTTAAAAGCGAAAATCTTCGACAAAGATGTCGGCACTGAGGATGATGCGGTTGGTGAAGCAACGTAAGTTCCTCAAACAACATCTTTTTAGATTCCCAATTGATAGATTTAGAACCTAATTGAGGAGATATGTTATGAAACAATGCAGTATTCCGTTGGAGCCGGTTTTCGTGGAAGGAAGTATTCCACCAACTGCATACAATGTGGTGAAAGATGAAGAGTACAAAGGCGAGATTTGGATCGCGCTCTCCTTCAAGCCCTCGGTATAAAACATCTTGCATTGTTTGTTGATTTGGTTTTTAAATATTTAAGTAGAATTTGAAGAACAATGTGTTATTCTGGTGGTGTTTTGTTAGGAAAATCGGAGCAGGGGTATCAACGAAGAGTCCTATGGAGGCTGGAAAAACTCTGAAGCATCATACTAAGAGAAGAAACCATTGTGTGTTACTGTTTGATTTGAGTCTTGGGAACAAAATGTTGAGTTTCCATTTGAAAGGGTATTTTTGTTGAAAGAGTTACTTATTATTATTATTGTGTTCAGATTGTTTCTAATGATTTCAAAAACTCCTGAGATTTTTGATTATTCTTTTCAAGAACTTGTTTTGGTAAGAGTTTTTCATTTCTTGAGTCTACAAAACTTGTTTTGGTAATGTTTCTCTGTGGTTGTTTACTGAATGGGGAAATAAAATGTCTATCTGAACCGGTCAACGAATCAATTCAATTGAATTTAACCGGTCATTGTGCCAATCCAATTAAACCGGTCATTGTGCCAATCCAATTAAACCGGTCGTCGTTTTGTGGTGCTCACTTACTCTCGTCAGCTCTATTGTCACTTTGTCAGAGTTAAGGTTTGTAGATCGAGAAAGAACAAAATCAATTGAAAGTAAAATGTTGGCTAGGGTTTGTAGATCGGAATCTTCTTCTGCTAATGCTTCTACTAGATTGATCAGCAAGAGATTGATTCATCGTCGCGTCGCCCAGAAAGGTACAATTAGAAAGCGTCTACCTTCTTTGCCAGTCCATTGCAGTGGTCGCAAAGGAACTTTTGAAGGAGAGAGTTTGAAATTGAGAAGTGGGTTTCATTATATCCAAAGCTTGGAGGATGCGATTGGTCTGTTCGATGAAATGGTTAGATCTCGTCCCTTGTATTCGGTGATTGATTTCAATAAACTAATTGGTGTCTTCGTGAAGATGGATCGACCCGATGTTGCGATTTCTCTGTATCAGAAGATGGAAATGCACCGGATTCCACTTAATATCTACAGCTTCAGTATTCTCATAAAGTGTTTCTGCGACTGTCATAAGTTTTCATTTGCTTTGTCGACATTCGGGAAGATCACTAAACTTGGTCTCCAGCCCGATGTTGTTACGTATAACACGCTACTCCACGAGCTATGTCTCGAAGATCGGATTTCTGAAGCCTTAACTTTATTTGATCATATGGTTGAAACTGGATTAACACCCAATGTCGTAACGTTTAACACGTTAATGAACGGTCTTTGCCGTGAGGGTCGAGTTCTCCAAGCAGTGGCTCTGCTTGATCAGATGGTAGAAAATGGTCATCAACCTAACGTAGTTACTTACGGAACAATTGTCAATGGAATGTGTAAGATGGGTAACACTGACTCGGCCTTGAATCTGCTTAGGAAGATGGATCAAAGCCACATCGAAGCCAATGTTATAATCTATAGTGCCATCATTGATCACCTTTGCAAAGGCGGACATCATAGCGATGCTCAAAATCTTTTCGCTGAAATGCATGACAAAGGAATTTTTCCCGATGTTCATACCTACAACTGTATGATAGACGCTTGTTGTAGTTCTGGTAAATGGAGTGATGCCAAGCAATTGTTGCGTGATATGATTGAAAGGCAAATAAATCCTGATGTTGTAACTTTCAGTGCATTGATCAACGCATTTGTCAAAGAAGGGAAGCTCGTTGAGGCTGAAAAATTATACGAGGAGATGCTTCGTAGGGGTATATTTCCTAATACAATCACTTATAACTCAATGATCGATGGATTTTGCAAGCAGGATCGTCTAGATGACGCAAAGCGCATGTTAGATTCAATGGCTAGCAAGGGCTGCTCTCCAAATGTAGTCACTTTTAACACCCTCATCAATGGCTATTGTAAGGCTAAAAGGGTTGACGATGGAATGGAGATTTTCTGCGAGATGCATCGACGAGGAATAGTTGCTACTACAGTTACTTACACTACTTTGATTCATGGGTTTTGTCAAGTGGGTGATCTTAATGCCGCCCTAAACATTTTCAATGAAATGATTTCTAGTGGTGTGGCTCCAGATTACATCACTTTCCACAGTATGCTGGCCGGCTTATGTAGGAAGAACGAACTACGAAAGGCAGTGGCAATGTTGGTGGATCTGCAGCAGAACGTGGTATGTCCTCGACACATTTTTGTCCAGTTTATTTATTTTCCTTCTGGGTTTTAGAGAAGAATGTGTGCATATATATCTAGCTTTGGCTACAGAGCTACTAAATGTACAAGTCAAACTTAAGATAGAGATTTCAGATTAACCCTCTCTGTCTCTGATTAGCTTAGTGTGTTTGCTTTACAGGATCATCAGTTGGAGGGTAAATGAAAGAATGGAAGATTCAATGCCATTTTGCTTCTTGCTTGATCGATTTCGATTCTGATGTTCCACTTTCACTTGTTATTTTATTTTATTTTTTTGTGATGCTTATTTATCTTACTGTTGAAACGAGATATTTTATGTGTTACAAAAAGAACTTGTTGGATATGCCTTCTTAACCAGGCGAGTAGTCTCAGACTGTAGCAGTTTATGGTCATCAAAAGTCGAGCTGACGCAGGCATCAAAAGCCTGATCAGTTTGGTGGAACAAAATCGGCATATCATCAAAAGTGGCTGCAAAATGGTGAGAAATACATGTCCAAGGTCTTATTTTTTTTTTTAAGTAAAAAGCAGCAGTCAATCATTCGATTACATAGTCTTTGTGTGAATCAAAGTGATTGCAAAGTATATAGTACCTCAATGAGTGAAGCTAAGTTTGAAGAAATCAAGTCAAGGTTGAAAAGGTCTTGTTTCAGGTGGAGTCTTGTCTCTACAGGTAATGTAGTGCATATCATCAGATCTTTTTTTGGCTTCAGGTGGAGAAATGATTACTTTTGGTATAGTGCAAACTATTCATTTCCGATCCCTTCTTTCTCTATCTCTAGCTAGCCTGTAGAATCCACTGGATTCAATCCAGGGTCAGACATCAGTTGTCTCAGTATCTGAATTAACATGAGCTTGTTTTTCTGAGTCACACGTGTCAGTAACTCCACCTTGACGTAGTTCACATTGAGGTTCGAAGTTATATTCAGTGAACTTTTGATAAGTATTCTCTTCAGTCTTTGAGCTTGTACTTGTGTTTGAACTTTAATTCTTCAAGTCCTCATTGAAAGAAACATTTCTTTCTACCGGTAACCACACATTATATCCCCTTACTCAAGGTTGATATCCTAAGAAGATTTCCTGACAACTTTGGAATGCATTTGACATTATTCAGTACAACAATATAGCCAGTGCCCGCTATTCACTTTGCTCGATATACTTTGCTGTAGAGATCATCAGTACACCGCTACCTGAAGTTTGCTTCTCCTTTGAAGTTTTGTAGACTCAAGAAAATGTTCACTCAATCTGTGCCAAAACAAGAAATGATCAACGGTTTGTGATTATGAATCATCTGTCTTGTTTCTGCAGGGCTGTGATTCTGAGATCTTCTTGGTGTTTAGATTGACCAAAAATTGTTTTGGAATTCCACATGCACATGAATATTTATGGTTCTGCTTTTGGTTCATTCAAAAAAAAAAAAGTGCACAATCGAGTGGTCGCAGGGAATAAAGACAGAATCTGTGAAGCACATCGAAAATTTAAAAAAGTGAAGTTTCTGAGGCAAACAAGAGTGGTCGTGTAGAACACAGAAACTGAAAACAACTTTGAATCACTGAAGGTTTCAATTTCTACCGTCTCTGATAGAAAAATAGAAACGCACAACACAAAAGTTTAAAAGTCTGACTAACCAAGCTAACTGAAGTTTCATTCCAGTCAAAAAAAACGATAAGGTGGGTAATGTAGTCATTGGACGTATCCTCGTGGGTTTAAGAAACCATTGTAAATATTTTCTCCTTTTTTTAGCAATTTTCTTTACTCATAAAACATACAGTAAAACCTCTATAAATTAATAATGTTGGGACCATGATAATTTATTAATTTATAGTGATATTAATTTATAGAGAGTTTTTGTTTTTAATTTTTAATACTTTTTTAAAAAATATGAGAAAAAATAATTTGATCTAAATAAAAGACTAAAAGTAATGCTTTGGATTCTATAACTTTGGTAATTTTAGACTTGAATATTTAATATTGAGAAGAAAGACAATTTTTTAAAAACAATAATAACCAAGATTATAGATAAATTCACATATACAAAAAATATGTAACATAGTGACTTCAACTGTAATATTTGAACGGCATATACGATTATTCAAATAAAAATTATACTTATTTAAATTTTGAAAACTTACATAAGTTAGCTATTTTATGAATAGAATTTCATTTTTAAAAAATTACTAAAAATATTATATATATATATATATATATATGTAAATTCACATGATTATTAATTTATGATATTATTGGGACCATATTTTTACATAGGGATTTGAAAAAAATTATTATCTTATTATCTTATCGAATTTGGTTAATTTTTACACTGGCCGACTTGGGACCATCAAAATTTATTATTTTATCGTGTTTATTAATTTATCGAGTATTAATTTATAGAGGTTTAACTATACACCGAAATTATTTATATCTGCACTAGATTAGGATCCCTCTATTTTTATTTATTATCTTCTAATATCGTATACAACTAGATGGTTTTTTTCTGTTATATCTTATAGTATAAATTTGGTTTCTACAAAAAAAAATTCTTAACAAATTAAAAACTACATTGTCTATAATATTATGCAAGTTTGAGCAAAACATAAGCAAAACATAGGTAGAAAATATAATACGTAAAAACAACTTGAATCGTATTTTTTTTTCTACATATGTTTTGCTCAAACTTGCATAATATTATAGACAACATTAGTGCCAAATTAGGATTATTTGGAGAGGAGCTAGTGGCTCTCAAGATAGGAAAGAGAGAAATCCATCTTGATTTACAATCTTCTAAGGACAAGAAGATTTGTTCTGTTTCTAGATAACATTTAGACCAAAGTCGATCTAGCTGAGATATAAGGTCATGTTCCCACCACAGAAAACAAATGCAAGATAGCCTTCACCACTTGCTCCTTGTATGTTTGTGTCCGTATGGGAGTGCGAGACCCTATCCATGTCCAATGCTTGGCACCGGACAAGGCTTTTGAGTTGTCCCGAAAGAAAATCGGAGAACGAACTCTTCAAAGTGATGCACATATTCTCAACCTCGTATAACAGGTTGCTGAGAGGTGATGTGGTCTCCCTCTGGCACTCAACATTATTAGTGAGACCATGGCTTCCAAGGAAACTGTACAAGAGTTGGAAACATGCCCTTGATGTTTTGACCACCTATGTTGCAGAGTTTTCAGGCATGGAAGACGTCATTCTTCCCGTATTAAAGTTCAGCTACGACAATTTGAAAGCAGAACACCATAGAGAATCTCCAACCCGTCTTTATTTTTGCCTCTAAACTCTATTGTAGAATAAAATCTACTCCAACCCACATCAATTTTCACTTCCAAAATAGATACTACTACTTTTTGAAATATTAAGATCCACTTCATCACTAAGCATACAAAACATTAATGTGCACATATTTTGAGCAGTGTTCATTTTGCCTTTTTTGTAGCCTCTATTCGTATTTATGGTTCTAGGTTCCAGATGGGATGAAGAAAAACTTATCTACTTGGTCAACAAAAGTCGTGAGACGATTTATTATCAACAAAAAAAAATACTAGTTAATATAATTTTGGTTTTTTCTGTTTTGAGTGGATGTTTTGTTATGTTTTTAAAAAAACTTTTGTGATATAAAAGTATGCAATATATCGTAAATTACATCATTACAACATTTACAAATATGCCATCAAACATAGTTAATAAAAAAATTATAATATACCCAAAAATACAAGATCATATAAATAACACATTTGGTATCTATTTTTGCTTTCTCTTAATGTATACACTAGATAACAACCCGCACGATGTGCGGGATGAAGTGATTCAAGTAAAATTATTTTGATTAAAATTATTATCCGGAATCCAAGATCCGTTTGTGTAACACGAAACATGTTACAAATTTTTTTTTGTTTTATTCAAATTTGGGACTATTTCATATAAGAATATGTTTTACCCGTGAAATATTTGAACCTTGAATAAAGCTTCAACGTGATAAAAAAATATTGACGAAATGTTACCATTTATGGCAATATGTCTTTCCGTATGTTTTAAAGATTTCGAGATTTTGTAGTATAAAAAGAAATTTTTTTTCTTTAATAAGTATAAGAAATCCAAAATTTAGCAAAGATGAGATTTGATAGTTTCCAAGCTAAGATTTTGTAGTGTTCCAAATCTAAGATTCTTAGATTATGAATGGATTATTTACGAAATGGTTATAATGTGGCGAGATTTTGGTTTATATACAAATGTGGTTATAATGTTTTTCTTCAAAAAATTAGAACTCCTCCAAAAAATAGGATTTTAAGTATTCGTAACATATATAGAAAGGAGATTATCTTGTTTATTTAAGTAAAAATATTATGAAAGATGTAAAGATTTTGTAGTTTTGAATTCGAAATTATTGAACCGAATGTATATATTTTATTATTTAAATATAAATATAAATAAAAAGATTGTTTACCCATCCGCTAAAGAAAATTTATATAAATGTATATAAAAAAATATAGTAATATAAGATAAACAAAAAGTGTATGTTTTTAATTATTAATGGGATATATGGATGTATGAGACTAATGACAAATTCTGTAAATAGTCTAATAAATCTTGGGTAATTATCTAAATAGAAGCCAAATCATTGTGAGAGCGACACATCAGCGTGGTAATCTTGTTAATAACACATGATGATAAGGTTTTTTTAAAAAATTGTTTCTCTATTAATATATAGGGGATTATCTTTTCTTCACTAACTATTACTACTATTAACTAATTTTCTGTTCAATATGAAATTTTTTAAATTGATTGTTAGCAAATAGGAGCATATACATATAAAAAAATGAAGAATCTTCTACATAAAGAAAACAATCCCCAGCTTTGTGATATTGATCTTGCCCCCCTCATGTTCTCTCCTTCCGTTCGACTATGTCTCTTCTAGATTCTTCCTCATGGTTTTTTTTCAACTTAAATAAAGTGTAACCAAGTTTTGCGTATACATGTATTGCCCATATCATTTGATTAATGAAAAAATTAATAATCACTATAAATCAACATATTACATTTTAATTCAATAAGTTTCATAAGTCGATCAGATAGAGTAGGGTTCTCTATGTCGTTTTCTGTTTTATTCTCACCATATATGGTAGAGTGTTGCTTGAAATACATACCGGAGAATAAATAAGTGCAGCTGATCATAGTTGTGACCGATGAGCAAAGCAATGAGTTGATACCACTCAAGAGAGAAATCATTACCAAATGATAACATCATTTTTTCGCTCGTTTTACCTATAGCTTTCTAGTGGTTTTACCAAATATTGGTCATGATTTCAATGCTTTTAGGACAATTTCAAAGATTCTGAAATTCTCCGGTATAAAACCTCTCTAAATTAATAGTCGATAAATTAATAACCACTATAAATTAATAAATTTTTTCAGTTTCTATGTCGGATCAATGTAATGTTTAATATAATTCGATAAAATAATAAGTTAATAATATTTTTTAAAAATCCTACGTAGATATATGGTTCCAACAATATCATAAATTAATAACTGTATAAACTTATCAAAAATATATAGATATTCTCAAAATTTTCTTACAAATCATATATAAAAAATTTTAGTAAAATATGACTCAAGTATAATTTGTTTTTCTCAAATTTACATTAATTTTTGGTAAATCCATTTTTAATTTTTTTTAACTTTATCGAAAACTTTTTGTGTTATTTTCTGAACATAAGAAATATAGTATTTTTTATTTGTAATTTGTTCTAGAAGGATGTTGGTTATAAGTTTATAACGGAAAAAAAAAACTCCCTTTCACATAGATCTTAAAACAAGGGACTTCTTAAAACAAAGCTCGGAAAAAGCCATTAGGTGAGACTCGCAACATTTAGCAGATGAAATTAGAAATTTCTAGAATTTTCATCCCAACAAATCCCAATTTCATCTTAAACTTGCAAGTCTCAGTGTCTCTTTAGTGTCCTGCAACTGTTTGTAGCATACTAGTACCCATGGAACTGCAACTAGGTAAGCTTGAACTTGCAACTTGTACACATGGAGGATCAGGAGACTTCTTTTTCTTGGATGCAGGTTCTTCATTCAGTGAGATTTTGATGTTGGAGAAGGTTGGCAATCCGAAATCGGGTAAAGGTAGACTACTATCATCACTTCCTGGAGCCGCAAAGTGTTGCTCCAAATACATGCGGATTACCGAGTCATCCTCTACTTGAAATGATCTTGTGAGTGGCTCAAATGGGAAGTTTGGGCACTGTTTAAGCCAATCATTAGGGTTTTTGTCCATCATTACACTTGAACTTCCCGTCTTGCCATGCGGTTTGCTTGGTGGTGTCTTGCCTTTCTGAAGTTTTTTTGTTGGTGCTTCAATGCCTTTCTTCTTGGTGTTCGTAGATGAACATGTTTCCGTATTTTTCTTCCGCTTTTTGGAGCCACTGATGTTCTTTTCTTGAGGGTTTAAACCCAGCTCAATGGTGTTGCTAAGATCTTCCACTGATGATCTAGCATTAGAATTTTCAAAGACAAGAACAGAATGTGAAGGGGCTTCTCTGTATGGAAAGAAGACCGATTTTCCCCACTCGTTATCAGGTTCTTCCTGCGCAGAATGAGCTTTCAGAGGCTCTTTACTTGTATCGCCAGATTCCCGAGTCACTTCAACAACTTTTGATGAGCCACTTATGTGAATCACGTCACTCTCTAGGTCAATGATCTCAATGTATCTTTTTCCTATTCCTTCGCTCCCACTTTTATTCCAATTCTTCTCTACCAAACTATCACTTGCAGGTTCACAGTCCAGGTTGATTTCAACAGTAAGTGATCCAGTCAAACCCGGGATCTCCCTCGCCTTATCATCACATTCAACCACAACACCATGCGAGCTTTTCTCTTCAAAAGACTCAACTAGGTTAGATACAACACAAGCCTCTCCCCAAGCATTTTCGTCTTTCGAGGTCTCAGCTTCTGGAATAAGTTTGTTGTCACTGTCACTACTCATATCCTCATCTGCACAGACAAAAACTATGTGTCTTCTTCACTAACAAACAAATATCTCTGTATTATTACTCTTTGATTCCTTTTCTCCACATACCTTCAAACACACATTGCGTTTTTGCTCGAGACTCCAATTTCTGCATTCTTTCTGGCTGTGACCGTAGCTACGATAAACAAAACATAAAACTCCCATCAATACATGTTCAAGAAGAAACATAATAAAACTAAGAACAATTCACTTACAGGAGTAGAGGTTATGTTAGATAAATTCTCCACATTTTCGACATATTCCCTCTCTGAAAAATCTTCTTCATCCTCCTCAATTGCATACGTCTTGTAAACCATAAAAACGAAAAGAAAAAAAATGTATCTATCAGCTATACTACAACAACTTTTCAAGATTCTAAATTTTCAAATAAAACCATGCATCTTACAATTTCATTACACCCGGTTCCGTATTCTTCACCCGATGAATCTTCAGATTCCATAGTGTTCTCATCTAATACCACTGTCTCCTGTGGATTGGTTTTAAAATCATTTGATGTGTTCACATTCATCTACCAAAAAACAAAAACAAATCTTTCACTCTCAATAACAAACTAATGCACAAATGATTAGTCTGTTATACCTTGTAAGGGTGTCCACTAACAGAACCAATCCCCAACTCTGCTTTCCTTTCATCCGGAAGGCACGAAGGCCTTTCGCTTGCGGTCTCTCTATCTTGTAAGGCTTTTAACTGCAGCAAGAGAAAGATAGATTATATATACAGACCAAAGAACTTGCAAAAGTCTACTCAAGAAGAACATGATAATACACTTGCTTTATTCCTCTGGATTCCTGCTTCTCGTTTTTCTCGAATTTTCTCCATTTTAATGTACTCAAGAACTTGATCCTTTGTAGATAACTTTTTCCCTGTTCTCAATTGCGTGTATGTCTACAAAATCAATGTGTAAATTTTCATCAACATGCATCCAAACCAATTCAATCAACAATGAGAGCTCAAAATTTTCTCATTTTGATGACGAAATTTTCATACACTTTTTCAATCAAAGGTCGGATTTTTCCTCAATTAATGGTCGATTTACGCAAATTTGTGTGTTTAAAGACTCATGTCTGCATTGTGATCAAAACACTAGAAAAAACAAAACTTTCACATCAAAAAAGCTAAGAATCAATGTGAATTGGAAGAAGAAAGAACAGAGAACACACGAAAAGGCTCAACATTTAGAGAGTTTAAAGTAGTTAACCTTAGTTTGACGACCGCGTTTTAGAACTGTAGAGTGAACAATCCAACCGACGGGAAGCCAATCCGGCGTGGCGTCCGCCGTAATAGTTGGTGGAAGCTGACGTAACATTTTCCGATGAGAAAATTCGGTCTGGAAACAGAGTTTTTTTTTGTTTGCCGGTGACTAGGTTTTGTCACTCTGTGTGTCTGAGAAAGACAGAAGAAGCGATAAAATATCGTTGACGTGGAGTTTATTTACGTGACACGTGACAATAATATCTGAAAGATTTGCATGTTAATCCCTAAAGAATGTATATTAATGATATTAACCCCGAATCTTTGTTATTGGAATGTCAAGGTCGTAAACTTTGGTTGGCTATTGAGTTGGAATTTGGAAAGAAAGTGGCCAAAACATTTAGCCACTAAATTGAAATAAGTTTTATTATTGAAAAATGAAGTCAAATTGACAAGTTTTTGCCGGCTAATTAAACATTTATATTTGTTCCATTACTGTTTATGTATTTGCTTTTTCTTTTGTTAAAAATCAGTGTTTATTTTTTTTTTGTTGATTATCTATGTAAATGATCTTTTCAATTAACAAAACTATGCTTGAAAACAAAACCAAAAAAAAAAAACAAAACTATGCTTTTTAAAGAAAAACAGAAAATTGGTTGTCTTCATCTTTGAATCTTTGATATTGCGTTGATTTTTGTTTAAATTTTGACTCTTTTGCACTTTAGTTTTAATTGATGAATAAAGATATTAAGTATGTAAATTTTGGTTTTAATCAGTTTTATTGTAGAGATGTGTTTAATTTACATTAATTATTTTTCTAAGTCGAGAAGTCGAGAACATAAAATTAAAGAGGGTCAACGCCATTGCCGTGCCGTGCCTTTGTTGACTACTCATAAAACTCATTATTATCATTTTTTTTGTCAAAGATCATTATTATCATTTTAGCATTGTAAAAATAAACTTATTTATTTTACAAAGTATATAGATGTTGACTTATATTCTATAATTCTATCGTTTGTTGAATGGATGACTAATTTATTCGTTAGCTTAATGTGTTCATATATACATGTTGATTGTTGACCGATCGATTTATCGGAAAGAAATTCGAAATTTAATAGTCTAGTCTTATTTGAGAAGATTCCATAGAAACCTTTAACAAAAAAGAAAAAGATTCCATAGACTCGTAACAACGAAAAAACTTTGATCATGTCATGTTACTATCTTAGGAACGGAAACTGCAGAAATGTCGTAAATGATCTGAATTGAATATATTAATAATTCTGTCAAACTAGTAACATGCCAGATTTATATAATAAGCTATAATCAAAGTATATAATAATCACCCTCTTATTTAAAATTACCAACAAAAAAAATGGTACTTTTTCTTATTTTCTAATCTCAGCTCTCGTTCAAATCAATACTACAAGAGAATCATTTGATACATATTTTCAACATCGTACAAATAAATGTAAATATGAACAAAAGTTATAGAAGTATCTGTACGTATATCTATCATACATTTATATCTACAAAATACAAGAAATTAAAGAACCAGAAATAAGAGAATTTGTTGACACAAGGTGAAAAGATTCTAAATAAAACCCTAGACAAATTTAATACTATAGTATAATTATTGGCGACAAAATTTGAACTATAATAATATAGAAATATATCATTTGTTGTGAAGCGGGTTAGGACCTTTGGGGACTAATCTGGCGGAAGCTCCGTAGATCCGATCATACTTCTCGCCGGCGGTCACTTCCGATAACATTCTCTTGCCGTCAAAACTTAATCGCTGGAACTCCTCCGTCGTGGTCATACTAGGGAACTTGCGGCTGGCCGAAGAGAAATGGAGCCCGGAGAAAATGAAGATCATGACGATTAGAAGCGATAATCTTTGGCTCCAATTTTTCATTTTGTTTTCTATTCGTAAGAGTTTTTTTTTCTTGACTAATCTTGTGTTGATGTCGATGAGTTAAGCTTAGAATTTATATTAATTACGGGATCGTGACATGAACTTGTAAGAGGAGGAAACGAACGAAATTTCTCTTAAGTACATTAAATATTGGTAACCTCTATTGACGAAACTAACCTCTCCTTTGACTATTAGAATTTAGAAAGTTCAAACGTATAATATAATTGTTGTGTTTAAGTAATTATTGTGGTTTTCACGTTAAGTATTTTTGATCTAAGTAACTAGACATAGATCGATGACCTTATATGAAAATTATAATATGACAGAATTTTAATTTATTGGACTTTCTCTCAGGGCCGATCCGGTAAAATCTGGGGCCAAATACAAAAAAAAAATTTGGGGTCTTTTTAAAAGTAAAAACTGCTAATTTTTTTTTTTTTGCTAATTATGGAGTATTTATAATTTTTATTTAACAGTTTTTAAAAAATTTTGGACATTGTTTTCTAGTTATTGAACTTTTTTCCTAATTATGAGGCTTTTATATTAAGGATGGGGCTTCTATGTTTATTTGGAGGCCTATAGTAATCATTTTGAGGCCTATTTAATTCATTTTGAGGTTTTTCAAAAAAAAAAAAAAAAAAAATTTCACATAATTGGGCCTCGAAAATATGAGGCCCAATACAAATGTATCATAGAAATTGGTCCAAGGCCGGGCCTGCTTTCTCTAGGTAAAACTGTGATATGTTATTGTGGCATATGACCATGATCTTTTTCTTCATCGTTCCAAGTTCACAAATTTCTACTAAGTGACGAAATACAGTATAAGAAGAAGAGAAAATTAGGGTCAGTGCCATGAACAGTGACAAAACTTATACAAACTGCCATGTTCGTTATAATCTTTTCTCCTATGCCATAAGGTCCACGTAAGAAGACTATAATATCCTGGCTGAAGATTGCTCATATTTATCCTCTAAAGTCAAACAAAATGTCTTTGTTCTCTGTCACGTCATATCATTATAACAGTTCCCGGCAATTGTAATCCTCTCTATCGTCTCCGGCAATATCGAAGTCGCAAGATCCAGTCTTCTCCATTATTCATCAAGATCCAGATCTTGTTCCTACTTATTTATCCTCCGATTTAGTCATTTGATTTTCTAATCGCGAACGTCGGCGGAGAATGTGGCGACTTCGACACCAGAGGCGAGCTGGATCTCTTTTTTAGCTTCCTCTAGCTTTCCGGCGGATCGGGCGAGGATTGAGACACGAGCACCCTCGGCGGCGGCCCGGTGGGCGAGAGCAAGACCGATGCCGCTAGATCCACCGGTGATGAAGACGTGACGGGACTTGATAGGGATCTTAATGGGGCGAGGACGTACGATTAGCGCTAAGATAGCGAGAATCGAGAGAGGGACAATGGGACGGAGAAAAACTTCACCAAATCGCCATCGCCATCGCCGGCAAAGAAAGAAAGAGAGAATAGCTTTTGTTTTTTTTTCACGCGACAGTTTGTGTTTTCTTTTTTGCGTTTTTTTTTCTTCTTTTGTCTAAAATTCGACCAATGAGAAGCTGCCACGTCGTCGGTTCTCTTAACTCTCAAAAGCTCTCTTGTGAGAGCTGGCTCTCTCCTTATATCTTCATTTTGATTTATTTTTGAAATTGTTTTTGAAGAGAACTGATTGAGAGAACCCCAAAAATTAACCATTGGGGGTGCTCTAATAGGATGTTTAATTTGTGGGATCCACTTAAACCTTTTCTTTAGGTTGTTTATTTTGTTGGATGATTTAATAAAATCAATTAGGCGGTTCTTGTTCCTAAACTGAGAGACGAGAAAGAAGAAGAAGAAGAACCAACACTACAAGAAAACACTTCATTTGCGACTGTGAAAATGGTCGCTAAACGGTCGCAAAAGAGGGTTTTGCAACTGAATAACGACTATTTCTATTAGTCGCAAAAAAACGGTCGCAAAATTTCTTTGTCTCATTATAGTCGCTAATTTGCGACTATTTAGCGACTATAAATATATCGTCGCAGATTAACGACTGATCTGTGACAGGCGAATATCGTTGCAAATTTACGACGAAAGAGCAACGAACGGACGTTAGCGACTCATTTGCAACTGTAATAACCTTACATATTTGGGCCCAATTTGCGATTCGTTTGCGACCGTTTCACTACAGGAAAAACATATATTAATAATAATTGTATATATATATAATAATAATTCTGTAATTTATTCTAGTTATTTATATTTTCTATAACATTTTACTTTTATTAATTATTTTGATTATATTAAATAATGATTAATGCTTTTTTTGGGATAAATTGATATATTAAAAATAAAAATATCAAATTTATTATTATCTAGTATATGAAACAATGATAAAAAATCTATATTACAAAAAATACAATAATTAAAAAATAAAAATACATTCTCAAAATCACAAAGCGTTGTCGTCTTCTTCCCCATCTTAAGCTGCAAAATCATTCGTATTCCCATCATGTTCAGGAGTTTCCCAGCCATCTCCGGCTTTGAGGAGCTTTTTTGTGAACGCCGGAACTCGGAAGTGCCGAGAACTCTTTTTCCTCCGAGCCAACTAGATCACCTCGCCTTCTTCCTCCTCCAATTCGATTCTACAATAGAGAAGCCCAGCAAGAGAATACATTAGATCGATAAAAAACAAAAGGAAACTAATTATATATGTGAATTCAACCAATGAATACAAATTGAAAATAGCTCCGTACTAATAAACAGGTCTCGGATTTCAAAATCGAGATTCTCCCATATAGCCGAGATGTCGTGGGTTGAAGCTGAGATCCCCAAATCGAAACTAATTTGATAATCGATTCAATTGCATGGTAGAATTAGAATATGGTATAGTTGGATAATCGATTGAAGAAGAAAAAAAAGACGACGAAAGAGACGACTAAGAAGAGGAGAAAGAGGGAAGAAGTGAAAAGATGAGCTTAAAAAAAGGGTTAATTTTTGTCCGTTAGATTCATTTTCATCAACGGTTCATATCGGAAACGTTGTGATCCCTACTTTATTGACTTAGCCAATGAGATAATAAAGAGAAGTTGAAATTTGTATCCCTTGGATTCACTCTAATCAATGGTCTATATTAAAAACTGTGTGATCCTTGTCTAAATGAGTTAACCAATGACAGTTTTTTCTATTTGCATTTTTAACGTTTAGCATTGTTTTGTTAATTTTTCACATTTAATTAACAGATTAGTTTTGCAATATGTTGTAAATTCATGAAAATAAATTAGATATTCTAAAACTATTTTATTACATATAACACATGTAATCAACTTCATTTGCAAAAATAGTTATATTTTAGTTTTATAGTTTTTTTTTTTTAATGATTGATTATATAGTTAAGTATTAGAATTCATAATTTAGTGTTTGGGATTTAAGTTTAAAGATTTGATATTATAAGTGTTAGAATTCATAATTTAGTGTTTGGAATTCATAATTAAAGATTTGGGAAAAATAAATTCGAAATTTGTAATAAGTGTTGGTTTTAGAGTTTAGTATAAGTGTTTAGGTTTTAAAGTTTAGAATTTACAAAAACTTATACTTGAATTTTTTTGTCATACAGTTTGATATTAATTTTTAATAATTTAGAATAACAAATTTAGTGTTGATGATTTAAACATGTTCATAAGTCCTAACATGAGGGATCGTTTTAGTCGCAAAATGGTACCAAAGTAAAAAAATTGGGGGGAATCTAAACCGCCCGAACACTTAGCGAAAATCTTAGAAATTTCACATTTAGTACCTAAATAGTCGCAATTATGGTCGGCAAATAGTTGCACAAATTGTCACAATATAGTCGCTAAATGGTAAACAGTTCCAAAATAGTGGCAAATTTGCAACTAGATTGTGACTATAATCTATAGTCACAACGCAAAAGGAGAGGTATACACATTTCAATCCAAAATGGTTATATATGGCACTCTATAACACTCATATTAGGGTTATAGAGGACATATATTAGTTTAAGGTTACAAAACTTTGCAAAACTCAAGTAATTTCATATTCAGTACCAAAATAGTCGCAATGGTAGTCGGTATATAGTTGCAACAATGGTCGCAAAATAGTCGCACAATGGGAAATCGTTCCAAAATGGTGGCAAATTTGCGACGTTTGTGTGACTGTGATCTATTAGTCACAAGGCAAAATTTAGAAATCTACACATTTCGATCCAAAATGGTGACATATATCACTCTATAACACTCATATTAGGGTTATAGAGGACATATATTAGTTTAAGGTTACAAAACTTTGCAAAACTCAAGTAATTTAGAGTTTTTACTAAATCCCTAAACATTACTCATATGAGTAATGTAATATCATAAAGAGATTTGTTTGTTTTTGATGATGTTTTGTTTCTAAACATCAGTATTTATGACTTTGGTTAAAATTTTCTTAATGAGTAATATCAAATAAGTGTAGAAATGTTTAACTTTATATGTAAGCAAATTTAAAACGTGAAAATTGAGAAAACAAAAATCGAGAGTTGGTAAATAGTCGCAAATAGGTCGCAATCTCAGGTGCTAGTCGCAAAACAGTCGCAAAATCTTCAGGTGCTAGTCGCAAAATACCGACTATTTAGCGACTAAGAGAAAATTGGTGGAGAGAATAAGCGTTTCAATATACATTTGTCGCAAAACGGTCGTTACATCGTCGCTCTTTTGAGACTAAAGCGTAACTATAATAAGTGGTCGTTACATCGTCGCTCTTTTGAGACTAAATTGCGACTACCACTTCTGACCAAATAACTAGTCGCACATCAGTCGCACGTTTGCGACTGAATTGTGACCAAAACATTTTAGTCTGTCATCGGTCGCAAATATGTCGCTAATGGACGACTAATTACCGACTGTTTTGTTTAGTCGCTGATTTGCGACTAATATACGTCCATATTGTTTTTCGTCAGTAAATAGTCGCAATAACGTCGGTAAATAGTCGCAGAGATTTGCGACTAAATATTTAGTCGCAAAAGTTAGTTGCAAAACGCAGGTTTTCTTGTAGTGCAAGAAGAACCAAAATCTTGAAGTTCGTATTCGTAAGTTCTTTCGCTTAATCTCAATCTCTCCTCTTTCCTGCATTTCTCTTTTCGATTTTCTGAGATTCACGCCTTCCTTCTTCTGCCTTTTCTTTGATTTCGTCGCCTCCGCCTTTTGATATTTCTAATGCTTAAATAAGCCCTTCGAATGTATGGAGTTTATAAACTTTTGGTCGTTTTTAGTATACGTAGTAGTGATGGTTTCCCTTGAGAATGAAGTGGGTATATATATATATATATAGGACGTAAACACTTAGGGCTAGTTGTAATACATTTTCTAAAAAACTTTGTGATCAAGCAAAATATCTTTGTGTTAATTATAATTGGTTATACTTAGAAAATAAAATAAATAAAATATAGGTTGTTATGGAATTAGTTCCAAAAATACTTGAACAAATAATGGATATAAATAAGAATATGCTTATACTCCCTCCGTTTCAAAATATAAGGCGTTTTAGGTAAAAGCACGTCGATTAAGAAGATTTAATTTTAAAAAGTTCAGCCAATCATAAAAGAGACTGCATAATAAAAATAATCATAAAGTATTAAAGTAATATATAATTTGCATAGAAACTTGAAAACGACTTATATTTTGAAACAAAAAAGTTTCTCCAAAACACCTTATATTTTGAAACGGAGGGAGTATATATAAATCTAATATCTTGATAGTTAATATCTCTTAATATTAGTATCCTATACTATTAATTGGGGAGTACACTTTATAAGATACCCTTAACTAACCTTTCCTTTTGTAAAAAATTACTTAAGAATGCCATTACAAAATCTTATTTTAGAACAAATTTCATTCAATTTATTAAGGATAAACAAGTAAAATACTAATTTATGTCATTTAATTAATTTAATTAAATTATAAAACGAAAATCTGTTATTTTTTTTTTAAATGACCAATCAAAATGAACATATAAGATTTGATATCTAACTTACCATATTAATTTGTTATTAATCATTAAACTTCACCTCTCATCTTTATATGATTATATTTATATGAAACAAATAAATCATCATATCATCTACATAATAAAAAAAAAAGTAATTTTTTTTCTGCATATGCCAAGATTTGAATTTTTAAAAACGCAAATAAATTGTTCAATCTATAAAGGAAACAATTAAACGGGTCAAAAATTCAGACTTGAGTAATATATTTCTTTTAGACAAAAATAAATTCAACAAAAATTCCGACTGAGCAATGGGTCAGAATTTGAATATTTATATTCGATTTCATACATTTATTTTTTTGAAATGTATAATTTTATATACTACAATAAAAAAATTAAATATTTAATTTGCATCATTTAAAATAAGTTTTACTTGATATTTTTAGAGAATATCATCAATACATAATAGTTCAAAAAGTTAAAAATTATAAATACTCTAATTTGATTATTTTTAAAAATATTTATAATAGGTAGCGGGTTAAATATAATATATTATATGATGAAATGAGTTTTGATCCTTATAACTATTTGAATAGTTATATTTAATTTCATATAATTTGTTTTTTGAAATTCATAATTTTATAAACTACAAAAAAAATTTAAAGATTTTAATTTGGAATATTTAAAAATAGTGTAGAACATTTAAATATGGTTTGAGACCTCTAAATATTTGAAAATTTGATTCCGCAAGCAATTTTAGAATTAACGAATAATAGATTGTGCAATTATATTCAACCCAAAAAAGCGTGTTACAATGAATGCATCAGTTTTGCCGAATTTGTTGAAATTACAATAGAGTTTTGGGGGATCACTTGTTTGAGCTACATTCTTGAGGCAAACCACAACCGAAGACCTTTCTCAAAGCCACCAGTGGGGATCGAGCTGAGACGATTGCGAACGTTTTTATCAATCCTTTTTGTAAGTTGAGCGAGTTTATAATATATGTTTTGATATTTCTAGATCGTTAAGCTCGAATTTTCCCAACATTGCCTTCCCTGCAAAATGGGAAACCTTGTAAGAAAAAATGATATCAGAATTTGTATAGCTAAGTCAAACTGCCATAGACAGTCTTCAGAAAGATCGAAAGGCTAGTCCGTAATTCAATCTGCAAAATGTCATATACGCAGTTATTCAAGACTTATGCAGTTGTGGCTGCACTAATTCACGCCTATTGAATCTCTTTAATTCTCTTCTTTATGCTCCTTGTTTCTTTTTTTTAGCAAGGCGAAATTTATAGTTCTAGCTTCTCTAAATCTCAACTTTCATTCCTAAATAATATTTACAATTTTTGCAAAAAAAAAAAAAAAAAGAGTTTGTATAGATCTCGTTTGGAAATGTTATATTATTTACACGGTTTGTTAGAAAGAAAAAAAAAACGTATAAATGGCATGTAATGTAAAACAAATTCGAGATTTAAAATATTTCAAAGTGGATTTCTTAGAATTTGTAAGCCCTTTGGATCAAGACACGTCAAGGATATCTGACGATGGTCAGGCGTCAACGACAACGACTCTTGATCAGTTTTAGAATAAAATGAACAGCTCAACGAATATGTGATATACGTTTACTGTATACACATGACATCACTCTACTGTTTTGACAAATAAAATTCATGTCTAAATAGTAACCATATAGTAGTATTTTTGTAAGATTATGAATTAGATAAATTAATAAAAGATAAATTTTCTGTCTATATTATTTGACAGCGATAAATATATAAAATATCGAAGACTTTGGAAAAAAACTACTGTTTAAGATATTATGGATCAAAAAATTGGATGTACTTTAAACAAAAAAAAAATATTGTGGAGGAGTTTATTAGTTTCTGTTATGGAGATGTTCGTTTCACCGGAAAGAACAAAGACAACAAGTTAAATTGCTGCTTTTGGAATGTTGCCTTGTGCGAATACCTAATGCTAAAACTTATTATTGAAAAATTCTAGTTTATGTTTCTAGCAAAATACAACATACCACTTTGTCATTCGGAAGTTTGTATAAGTTTTATTGTTGTTATTATGGATTTTAATTTCTATAATGAACAAACATTAACTACTATACTCCTAATTTGTTCCAAAAAAACAAATAAAAAAAGAACTATTACTCCTAAATGAACACAATCCAACACATAAAAACCATAACACAAAAAACAATTTCATCAATAGCCTATAAAAAATTGCATATTTAAGATTTAAACCCAAAATTTGAGGTACGATTGATTAAAAATAAAAATCATGCAGCCTATGTCACCATAAACTGATCTATATATTCGACGATACGCATGCATGAGCCAATTGTTTTTAAAAAAAAAAAAAAAAAAAAGGAGAAATCTTTCAAAATTTTGGGTATGTCGTGTAGTTGAAGATGTTACTTGCATGGAGACAATTAAGATTGAGAAAGATTTGATTATTTGGAACTCTCTTGTTAACCTTGGAAAAGTTCCTTCACTCTGAAACCCATGGAGCCATTGAAAACTTCGTGACTTGCTTTCTCCTCAAGAAATTGATTTTATTATAATGAAGGTCAAGAGGTCTTCTTGATCAATTACGTCACCGGTATGATTCCGGTTATCTTCTGGGTCGGGTTTCCGGGTAAGTTGGAACGATACTCCCTCGCTCCTTAATTTTACAGCATCCTCCTTAATTCTACTATGTTTTTTTTTTTTAATTTACCTATTTTCTTTTACTTTAATATCTTTAATTAAAAAAAAATATTTTTAAAACTGTGTTAAAAATGAGGTTTCGCACACTAAATAATTGTTGTAAACATTTTTAATTTACCTAAGGCTTTTATAAATATACTAATTTTTCTTTTCAAAGAAACTTAAATGTTAAATTTTAAAACCATGAAAACAAACCGGATTTCGCATCCTATCCTTAGGTTCTCCTATGGTTCGTCAGAGGTGTTAGAAGTTCAACATGTTTTCACGTAACATAAATTTAATATTTAAGTTTCTTTTTCATATTCTTAATAAAAAAATGTTGATGGATATAGTCTGATACTATTCTTAGGATCTTCTATGGTTCCTTAGAGGTGTTAGAAATTTAACATGTTTTCAAGTAAATTTAAGACTTAAGTTTCATGTTAATTAGAGTTGTGAAGAAAGTTGATGTTCATGATTTGGTAAAAAGTTAGATGGTCATCAAGGCTTAGCTTGAACTAGATGCATGTGTTTGTTATGCAAAAAGATGATATATGTACAGATTAATTATCTTTGTTCCTATATGCAATTAGTTAGTAAATTATTAACTTCATTTTTGTTCGTAATTTATTAGTTTATAACTTTGAACTGAGATCAATGATGTTATTATTGAGCAAATCATGTATCATATGTATTTTACCCTCACTTACATATAGTCAATTAGTTGCATCTCAATTGTCACGATTAATAATAAACAAAAACTTCCTCAAATAGTCAAATATATGATGAATAAACACATGACTTAGACAAATAAATATTTCTGTAATTAAAAAGTAAATTATATCATAGAGTTATTTTTTGATTAATGTGTGGTTTGACAAAAAAATAAAAAAAATAAATAAATCGTATATTGATAATTAAATAACAAAATTATTTAAATTTGATGTTGACCATAAATGTGTTCATACATTTCTCGAGGATACATCTAATTACCAACCCGGGTCGGTTTATTTTTGGATTGGAATACCAGAAATACCTTTGAGACCCATCTTAACCGCCGTTCTTCGAAACAAAGCAGGAGGTTTCTCTAAACCGATAGAATGGCAAAACCGGTTAGCTAACTCGGCCAACGTGGTTTTGTCTCTACCGGTTTCTCTAACCGAGTTGTAATAACCGAGCCAAGCATGGTACGCTGCTTCTTTAATACTTGTATCAATCTTAGCCATAGACTGATCAACCTGGTTACAAAACAATTGTCCTCAGTGTCACTTGGCAATGAAATTCATTTAGGGGGATGATAATAGTAAATTCAAACAAACCTGAAGTTTAACTCTTGAATCAAGATCTGGAACTGGAATTGGCTCAAGAGGCAAATCTTTAAGCTCATCAAGAAAATATCTCTCCCATGGCGCAATCAAAAGCAATCTTTCACCTCCTTTGCCTTCTATCCCGGTTCTACCAAGCCGATGTATATACTGTTCTCTGTCACTCGGTATACCGACCTACCAACAACACAATACCAAGTCTAATCCGTTAAATATCCATAAAAGGTTGTTCTTAGCATGAAAATGCCATTACCGCTGGCTTGCAAGTTCTCTTGTGGGGCAGAGGATAAGAGCAAATATCGGAGCAACTTTGTGAACGCCATTACCGCTGTTCATAGCTTTCAGAACTGTTTCAATTGCAGGAAGCTGTTTTTTCAATCTAACAGCGTTATCTAAAGAAACAACAAAAGCTAAGGCCCATGATCTCAGGATAAGGGATTGTAAAATACCAAAAACGCCATGCTTTTTCCTGTCCCGGTTTTGGCTTTGACTAATGCATCTTTACCTGCTTTACATAAAGGATAATATGTTGTCAAATGCTAACCATTTGAGCAAAAAGAAGAAATTAAAACCAAACTACCAAAGCAGAGTAGTCAGAGAAGAACTGGGACAAGAAACGAACTATAAGAATACATACCATCTAGGCACTCAGAGAGAGTGGCATCCTGTACTCTAGTCATCTTAACAATGCCAGACACAGAAAGCGCCTTTAGCGTCAAAGGAGATATACTAGACTCATCAAATCTGCAACCATTTACAGAAGGGGAAAAAGCTCATCAAGATTCAAACTTGACAAATCAAAATCCTTAACACAGTGCGTCTTAACATACCTTTTTCCACTGAAAATCGAGTCATGAGGCTCTCGGTTCTCCTCCATTACATTATCCACAGATTTTCTTTTACTAAGATCTTCTCTGACTGTATTAATATCCAACGGAGGATATAGCCCTTCGTCCGTGACATTACGATTCACTCTTTTCGTCAGTTTGATATCGTGGTTTCCTAACGCCGCACTGCTTCCTGTTTTCCTCAAATCCATCCAACCGTTCATCTTTCCCTCTTCGCCTTCTTCCTCTGAATCCTCTTCAGTTGAACTATCATTCTTCCTAAACTTCCTTCTCCCAAACAAACCTTTGTTCCTTATAACTCCAACAACACTCTTCGAGCTCTTCACTTTCTCCTTGGTACCCGCAAATTTAGGAGAAAAAGGACTCAAAGTATCTAACTTTTTAGCATCAAAGTCATCTCCTTCATCACAAGAACTCTCATTTCTCTTAAATCTACCTCTTCTCATACTCGAAAAACCTCTCCTACCACTAACTAACTTCCTCACATCAATAGACGAATTAGAAGAAGAATCAATCGAATTCGAACCTGACCGTCCATTATCCCTACGAGATAATCCCCATCCATCATCTGATTCCTTCACCGGCCCATCGTTCTCGTTCCACAAATCTTCTGCTCCAGCTTTCATAAACCGATCAGCCAAGGTTTTGATATGTTCTTTCGGGCTCATTGGTCCGTGACTCTGACTCGATTTCTTCGTTTTCTCGCCGGAATCGGAATTACCCCACATTTTAGCTCGGATCTCGGTCCTGATTCGAGCTTCGTAAAGCTGTTTCTCTTGATCCAAGAGCTTGTTCTCTTTCTCTCTAGCTTTCTTCTCGTGCATACGTTTCCATTGCCACTTATTGAGTCCTCCAGGGAAAATTCTCGGACCACCACCCATATTTCGGGTGAAGATTCGGTTCCCGGAGAATTAACGAGTACGTTTTTTTTCTCCAGGGTTTAAGCCTTTAAGGCAGTAATCGAATACATTTCACTAATGTCATGATATAGCCGGTCTGATTTTTATAAAATCTCGGTATGCAATTGAAACCGGTTAATTAACCAAAATTTAACAACAGTAGTCCATTTGTATATCCGGTTTGTTTAGCCTTTTATATCCGGTCTGATTTACATGAGAAACAGGATTATGCAATTGAACCGGTAAAATGCAAAGGATAGAAAGAATCTAAACTTTAGATTCTGTTTATACCAAATCTTTATTATTAAAGAGCTTGTGATTGATAAATGTTGTGATAATGTTTGTCATCTAAATTTGTTGAGAAATATCGATGGTCCTCATGTGTGTGACACCTTTGCATCTAGGTGTCTTCTCTTTCTCCACTTGTCTCTTCCACCTTTATTCACTCTCTCTCTCTCTTTTTTTTTTTTTTTTCTTTCATCATTCACTCTCTCTCTCCATATCAATTATCCACCACATTCGACTTATTTGATTTTTTTTACACAAAAACAAAATATGCCCAAAAATTGAAGAAATAAGAATACTCAAAAAGATCAATAGAATAGTCAAAAAGTAAGTTTCCCAACAGAAAACATATTGTCAACAAAATATGCCAAAAAAATCAAGAATTAAAGAATAGTTCAAAGTATCAAAAGAAAACCACATTGTTGAATTACATCTTCAGAATCCAGATTGAGTTGTTGGGAAGCTAATAACATCCTGCAACAAATAATTCAAGACCACTGCTTCTTCATCTCCAGATTCTCTCTCCATGAGATAGAGAAAGACATTAGAGAGAGGGAGAGAGAAAAACACTGACCCTGATATTCAGGGAATCCGTCAAAAGCATGGTGAGTCGGTCAATTCCCATACCCCAACCACCTGTAGGAGGCAATCCATGTTCAAGAGCTACACAGAAAGACTCATCCAAGACCATTGCTTCTTCATCTCCAGATTCTCTCTCCCTGAGCTGATGAGCAAATCGCTCTCGCTGAACCACCGGATTGTTCAACTCGGTGTAGGCATTGCAGAGCTAGGACAGATAAACATATACATAAAAAAAGCTCTGTCCCATCAAACAAGAATAAAAAAGGGCATGTAACATGTCAGTTTTTACTTACTTCTTGTTTGACTATGTAGAGCTCGAATCTTTCAGTCAGATCATCACTATATCTATGACTTTTAGCAAATGGACTCATGATTACCGGATGGTTGATGATGAATGTGGGATTCACACATCTCCTCCACATACTTTCCAACAAGCTGCAAAAGAAAAGAAAGATTTAAACCACTACTATACTGTTAACAAAAGAAGGAGACAGAAGAGTTTTTACCTTTGCTAAAAGTCGAGATGTTGTCTGGGGAGAAGGGCAATTGACATTAAGCTTTACACATGCATCAATCAGATACGTGTTGGCTTCTTTGCTGGCCAAGTCTTTTGGAATTTTAAGCTGAGCCGCTTTCTCCAACTCTTCTATCATATCAAGCCTTCTGTATGGAGGAGTGAAGTCGATCTCGATTGGTTCCTTATCATACCCATTAGCATGGTACTTGATTTTGCAATCACCTGTAATCTCCTTCACCAAACCACTCAACATATCCTCAGTCATTCTCATCAATTTGCTGTAGTCTGCATATGCCATATAGAACTCACAGCTGGTGAACTCCGGATGATGGGTCATGTCAATACCCTCATTTCTAAATTGTTTTCCAATCTCAAACACTCGATCAAATCCACCAATTACAAGCTGCTTCAGATATAGCTCAGGAGCTATACGCAAATACATCAGAATACATCAGATATATCATATTGTTTTCAATTACAAGCTGGTTTAATATTGTTATCATATTGTTTACATAGAAGACTGAACTCTCGTGATAAAATCATCAACTCTCCTTTTTTGGTTTTCGTATTCTGATGTATTTGCGTATAAACAATATGATAGAAGACTGAACTCTCGTGATAAAATCATCAACTCTCCTTTTTTGGTTTTCGTTGGAATACCAATGATTCCAACGATGTCTCCATGCTTGACTCTAGAGTGAAGCTTTGAAAAGTCATCAAAGCTTAACGTTGACTCACTTGCATTAGCCATAATTTGGACCTTGGAACCCTGACCATGTAGATCATAGAAGAGGAGCTTGGAAGAAGATTTCCGCTTATTCATGATTCGCCCTGCTAGAGAGGTTTCAGGGCCAACACAATATCCTCTTTTGATAAAATCTGGAATTGACATTTCCACCGAGAAGGTGTGAGCATACTGATTCTCCCCAGCCGCAACTGCTTTTAATCTATCTTCAAGCAGAGAAGATTTTCTTGAAATTAAAGCTTTACGTTTCTCCTTCTGTGTAGATCCCATGGAGGAAGACCCTAATTTCAATCAGATCATAGTGACGAATACAAACATTGTTGATTAGATTGTTAACAGAAAATCCAAAATAAATACCAAAAATGGACAAATTCATCAGGCAAACTAAACGTATCTTTACAAGATTCAAGATCCTTACATCCACAGAATCGTGAAAGCCGAAATTGTGGTTTAATAGTTCCAAAATACACGACGAAATAAGGCAATGGTTCAACGTCTTCAAATTTCGAAGAAATTGAAAGCAGAAGCAACCCTAATCCACTAAAGCGATATAAGCATTCACCAATTTTCAAGAGAAAAACCGAGATAAATACTAAAAACGGACAAATTTCAATCAGATCTTCAAGAAAAAATTCAACCGGAACCTACCTCTGAGATGGTGAACGTAGCCGGAAGAGAAATACTAAGGGTTTAACTGTTTAAGCGACGACTCGACGGTTGAGGAAAAAAAAACATAAGCGACGACTCGACGGATCAGAAAGAGACACACAAGGGTATAATTGTGCATTCGCATGTTTATATAGGCTTGGGCCGAACCAAATGGGTGGGTTTATTTCTTTGACACGCAAGCCCTTTCTTTTTTTTTTGCTAAAGCTGAATAGAAAACCCTAATCTCAAATTAATTCGATGCTAAAATAGAACTTTCAGTTTCAATAATATTATTATCATTTAAAAGCAAACACTAATCTCATATTAGAGGCTCAAATCAATTTTCAACAATAAAATAAAAAAAAGTACAGAAATCATGCAGTTCTTGGAGAGAAAGATATTCAAATGCTTATAAGAATAAACTAACAGTAGATAAAGATAAGAAATAGAAGAAAACGTATACAGCTCTCTCTTATCTCTGATTTCCATGTCTAGATTCTCTATCCAAGCAGATCTATATGAAATTCAGGGATAAGAAAGAAGTGATAGGTTTATAAAACGAGTTAAGAACATACTTAACAAAGAAAAAATTATAAAAGAATAGAAGAAAACTAAGTTAGATCTCTCTTATTTCTGATTTCCATATCAAGATGCTCTAATCTAATCCCATCGAGATTTTTATGAAATGAAATACAATGATAAGAAAGAAGAGAGAAGTGTTTTTAGGTCGAGATGGTGTGATGTGATTGTGTCCACTACAGCTCTACTCTGCTTATAAAGAGGTGCGGTGGATCTCACTCACCGGATTCACGCGCCTATTGAATATATCGAAACGTCTTTATTTTATTGAATTTATTTATTATATATTAAAGATTTAGGTCCACCGCCTTAGGCGTGTTAAATCGTAATAAATATGAAAATATAACCATTTCCAAAAATCTTAAAGAGACTTTTTCGGAAACGGCTATAATTTCAATTTTATTATATAATTAAATATTTATGTCTAACAGTTTCCCTAAAAACGAGGTCAAATACATTTACCCTTTCTCTTTTTGAAAGTACAAAAGGAAAGTAATCTCGGTCTTCATATTTTATACCACAAAAGTAATAAGTACAAAGAAATTTCTAATTTATTTTCCATCGATTTAGTGAATATATCTTATATCTTATTATAAATCAATGTTAGACTTGTATCGTGAATAGCCCAATTAACCTAGTAATTAGAATTTCTGACAGAATAACTAAAATGAATCTAAAGATATAATATATAACAATATTCAAGTTTGCAATTATTAATTCGATTTTTTAAAAATTAGGAAGTTAGATAAGTAAATTATTAATCCGATTTTTATCATTAAGAAATTTGGAAAATTGTTTTTTTTTTAAATAATTTTTTAAGTAATCGCTATTCTAAATTGAAAAGCTAATTAATACTCCCTCCGTTTTCGAATAGTTGTCGTTTTAACTATATGCACACAAATTAAGAAACTATTAATGTTGTTAGTTTTTCAATATAAAAATATCATTAATTATCTACCAAAACATAATTTAACCAATAGTAAATCAAGTTGCATAATAAAAATAAATATAAAAAATAAAAAAATAATAAATTTTGCATCGAAAACTGAAAACGAGAACTAATTAAAAACAAAAAAATTTCTCTAAAACGGCAACTATTCGAAAACGGAGGGAGTACTTCTATATCATAGGAATTTACAACATCTATAATATTCTAAAAATTACTTATCCAACAAGATATTCTAATATTCTTTTTTAAAATCGTATTCTTTTAGCATATATTCAATTGTCATATATTTATGGATAGTTATTGAATAAATTAAAGAGAAATTGTTAAAAATGCCCCTTTTTCAATACCCCTTTTCAAAAATGCCCCTTTTGAGAGTCCATTTTTAAGTTTGCCCTCTTTTAATTTTTAATGACCATTTTACCCTTATTTGAAACAAAATTATGTCCACAAAATACAAAATATTTTTTGGCGGGAAAAGTGATCCCGCAATTTTCCCGCCAAAACACTTGTAAAAACCTTTAAAAAACCTTGTAAAATTTTCCCGTAAAAATTTTTCCCGCCAAAAAATTTTCCCGCCAAAAAAATTTTTTTGCGGGAAAAGTGATTCCGCAATTTTTTTTGCGAAATTTTTTTGGCGGGAAAATTTTTGGCGGGAAAAATTTACAAGGTATTTTAAAGGTTTTTTACAAGGTATTTACAAGTGTTCTGTAAGGTTTTACAATGTATTTTAAAAGGTTTTACAATGTACTTTTAAGGTTTTATAAGGTATTTATAACTTGTAAAACCTTATAAAAAACTTGTATAACCTTATAACTTGTAACAACCTTATATTATACGCGTGTGTAACTTATAATATTATGAAAATACTAGAAATATCATTCTCATTGTTTTAAACACAGCGTCTCACCTTCGTGCTGACCTTGTAAAAAACC